TGATCTCCTTCAGGATGGACTGGTTGGATCTCCTTGCAGTCCAAGGGACTCTCATGAATCTTCTCCCACACCACAGTTCAAAAGCATCAATTTTTCGGCACTCAGCTTTCTTTATAATCCAACTCTAACATCCACACATGACTACTGGAAAGACCGTAGCTTTGACTAGATGGACCTTTCTTGGCAAAGTAATGTCTCTGCTTTACAATATGCTGTCTAGGTTAGTCATAACTTTTCTTCCAAGGAGCAAGTGTCTTCTAATTTCATGGCTGCAGTCACCATCTGCAGTGATTTTGGAGCCCCANCTTTCTTTGGGATTGGAATGAAAACTGACCTTTTCCAGTCCTGTGGCCACTGCTGAGTTTTCCAAATTTGCTGGCATATTGAGTGCAGCACTTTCACAGCATCATCTTTTAGGATTTGAAAGAGCTCAACTGGAATTCCATCATATACTATAAAATATATACTATATAGCATAATATATACATAGTGTATTACATATATATGCATATAGTATATAGCATGTGTGTGTCTTTTTCATTGTAAATAACACCTGAGAGCTTGTTCAGTGGTCTGAGGACGAGCATGTAGTGGGAATAATGAAGGAAGAGAGCAGAGAGGAGATTCTTAACATAGCAACTAGATTTGCCCCATCAATCTGAGTGTCTTGTAGCAAAATCACTTTCACATTCAATTCTGCTTTTTAGGATCTAAAATAGTAGATAATTCAAAGAATGTTGACTCTTGGCTTAGGGAAATGTGTTTTATTACATATATGAATAAATATATCAGCATTGAGTTTCCACACTTTAAAGGAAAGGGTAATATTTTACCATGAAACCTTGTGAAGAATAGCCTAGTAGCTGCCTTGAATTCATCCTGGTTACTTGTGTGTCTACTGCAGAGTTGGGCTGGTCTGTTCCCTCCTCAGAAGGTGGGGAACCAGAAATTTTAGGTTTATAGAAACTCTCATCTATTGCCCTTTATGTTATTCTTTCCTAAGCAGAATTGGAAACATAAAACTGCCAAACATTGAAAGCTTCAGCTGCCAGACCTTGTACCAACTGCCTTACTTACCTCATTTGAATCTTAAAAAAGCTTATATGAAACTTATTATGCTATTTTATAGATGAGGAAACTGATTACTGGAGAGATTCAACTGCTTAAATTCATATTTCTCATAAATGTTCTTATTGTAATTAAAACCCATGCAACAGAGTCTCATCAAATCCTTTTTTTTCCACCTGAGACATGCCATTCTTTTCTCCACTCCCAGTGCATCTGGTCATCTCTTATCTTAATTCCGTGTTAGCTTTCCTACCATTCGACTATTTCCAATATCCATTGTCTTTTCCACATGGTACCAGAGATATTTTAATAAAAGACCACATCTGAGCTTTGATCTTACTCAAAAGTAGCTTAAGGTCTGGAGATTATGAGACTTCTCCTAATCTAAACTTCATCCCTCCTGTCTCACCTCTTCTTCTCACTACAAGTCCTATTTTATGACTAAACCAAAGTCCTCTCTACATCTCACCTCCTTACTTCAACTATTTGCACATCACTCCATTTTCTTGGAATCTCTGTCCATGTATGAGAGTTTGGTCAATTTTTGCATTGTTTTCCCATGGTATCCACTTCTGAGCAATATGGTAGAGTGGGAATCAAGAGTCAGGGTGCTAAAATCAGACTTTCTGAACTCAAGGGCCTCACTACTTAATAACTCTCTGTGCCTGTTACCTATATAATTGTGACCGTAATAGTACCTACTTCAGGGTTGTTGAAAATAGAAAGAATTAATTCATGTGCAATGCTTAGAATAGTGCCTCGTACCTAATAAGCCAACATTAAGCATTTGTTGTTGCTTCTACTATGATAATCTTGATGGTAGTGATATAATGATCTCCCTGCAAAAAGGCTAAAGGAATTGTTTATTAATATTGGAGTCAACTTAGAGATTCATGGTCATACCAAAGTAAAAGTATTTTGCCTATAGAGAACCTCGATACAGTTTGTAGGCTATTATATCTAAGCTATCCTATGGCATTTCTAGTCTCTCCCAAATTCCTCACTAGTTGAAATCCCACTAGTATCTGGGACAGGTACTAGTCCCCAGACTGGCGATACCTTCATTATCAGAAATGAATGTACTTAACCAGGTTACTTCCCTGGTGCCTCTGACGGTAAAGTGTCTGCCTACAATGCAGGAGACCCGGGTTCGATCCCTGAGTTGGGAAGATCCTCTGGGGAAGGAAATGGCAACCTACTCCAGTACTCTTGCCTGGAAAGTCCCATGGATGGAGGAGCATGGTAGGCTACAGTCCATGGGGTTGCAAAGAGCTGGACACCACTGAGCGACTTCACTTTCTTTCACTTTCAACCACAGTTCTGGAGGTGCCTCATTTTGCTGGTTGAATGGATGATGGAACCAGCTATGCAGTGAGTTCAGCATGGGCTGATGTGAATCAAGCTCCAAATCCAGGCAGGACTCCTAAGTGCAGCAGAGGGAAGTCTTTACCATTTTAAGACACCATAAAGTAAATAATAGGGCTTCCCTCGTAGCTCAGTTGGTAAAGAATCCGCCTGCAATGCAGGAGGCTAGGGTTCGATCCGTAGGTTGGGAAGATCCCCTGGAGAAGGAAATATTAACCCACTCCAGTATTATTGCCTGGAAGATCCCATGGACAGAGGGGCCTGGTGGTCTACAGTCCACGGGGTCACAAAAATCAGACATGATTTAGCCACTAAGCCAAAGTAAATAAAGGCCTGCAGATTTAGAAATATGATTCCTTCCTCTGTCACACAGGCAGCGTCATAAAACATATTATTTAGACTGAATTATTAGAATTAATTAGTTTATTAATTTATTAATTAGCTTACAAATTAGAATTAGTAGACTCTGGGAATTTGTGATGGACAGGGAAGCCTAGTGTGCTGCAGTCCATGGGTTGCAAAGAGTTGGGCATGACCGAGCAACTGAACTGAACTGAACCAAACTGAATTAGAATTACAGAAAATTTTTGCAGACAGTTTAATTTTTATGAAACTGCTACAAACATATTTGTTTGTATATTATTTTTATTTTGATGACTATGGTTCTGAACAGTTAAATGTAAACTGCAGTGTTTCTTAGCAGAGTTCACCATTTAAAGCAACTCTACAGTAAGTCATAGTAAATTACATTATAACTTTTTAGTTTTTATTTATTAGAATATTAATTTACCAACTTATTTTTGCCTTTATTTTTATTGAAGTATAACTGATATAACATTATATTATTTTCAGATATACAACACAACTCAGTATTTGTATATATTGTAAAATGATCATCATAATAAGTTCAGTTAATGTCCATCACTGTAGCTTTCCTGGTGACTCAACTGGTAAAGAATCCTCCTGCAATGCAGGAGACCCCAGTTTAATTCCTGTGTCAGGAAGATCCCCTGGAGAAGGGAACGGCTACCCACTCCAGTATTCTGGCCTGGAGAATTCCATGAACTATATAATCTATGGGGTTACAAAGAGTCAGACACAACTGAGTGACTTTCACTTTCACCATACATAGTTACAGAAACTTTTTTTCTTCTGATAAGAACTCTGAAGATTCTCTCTCCTAGCTTTCGGATGTGCAGTGCTGTATTATTAACTATAGTCACTGTTCTATACATTACATCTCTTTTTTTTTAATTTTATAACTGGAAATTTGTATCCTTTGACACTCCACCCATTTTGCCCACCTCTTACCCTCTGCCTTAGGCAACTACAGGTTTGTTCTCTTTATCCATGAACTTGTTTTTCCCAGTTGATTGCTTGGTCATTGCTGTTACTTTTTTTAGACTCCATAATCCAGTTAGATCATATTGATATTTGTCTTTCTTCTGTCAGACTTATTTCACTTAGCATCTATTTAAATTACAGTAGGACACACTTGGGTCAGCTGTGGTGCTTTCTAACTCAAAAGAGAAATCTGTAGTTTAGAAAATTGCAGCATTAAAGTAGCTAATATAGGTAACTTTTGGAAAGTCGTGTTTAATATTTAGGGGGAAATAGAAGCCATAAAGTAAAACTCTAACTTGAGGAAAACAGCAGGAGCCAATCTATTAAGCTACTAATAGCTAAATTTGATTTTCAGAATGAAGAATGTGTAATGTGTATGTGTTGTTGTTTTATTTCACTTTTAGAGCCTCTAAGGTATCTAGTTCTCATCATTACAATGAGAAATAATATTAAATGGGTTCCCAACATAATGTGCCAGGTGTACACATGCGCGCACACACACATATCCACACACATACCACATTTAAATTAGATAGAAGTCTAATGGTGGCACATAGATCTGAGAAATAAATGGAAAAAATGAATAATAAAATTGATGACTTGGGTTTCTGTAGCACCTAAAGTATAAAACGTACTTACCTAATAGGATGAGGTAGAAAGAACTTTGGATTTTAATGAGAAGACCTAGATTTTAATGGTTGCTTTTCTAGTTACTATCTGTGTGAGGTTGGGCAAATCCCTTAACTGTCAAGAGCTTTGTATTTCTCATCTGTGAAATGGATATGATAGGGAGTCCTTGGAGGATCAAAAAATAATGTACATATAACCTTTGGAAATTGCAAAGCTTGGTACAGATTTCAAAGATTATAGAAGTAAGAGATTTCAAAAATGATTCAGAGATTTCAGAGATTATTTCAGAGATGAAATAAGTATGACAGAGATACTGTTTTCAGTCTGTACATGAAAAAAAAAAAATGAGATGTGGAAAAAGGAATGTGTGGCCAGGCTAAAACTGGAACTGGGCTTTTGAGTCCAAAAGCTGGCAGTTTTGTGTGCTTGACTATGCTGTTTCTAAAGTTGAGTTGTGCATATTTCACAGGGCATAGCTATAGTAAATTAACCTAAACTGATTTCAAAGACTTCTAAACATATAATTATTGAGATATCTTAATAAGAAGTGCTAATATTAACCAGATGATGTTGATGTTTGTTTTCAAATGCAGGTAATGAATTTGGGCATCCTGAATGGTTAGACTTCCCAAGAAAAGGAAATAATGAGAGCTACCATTATGCACGAAGGCAGTTTCATTTAACTGATGATGACCTTCTTCGCTATAAGTTCCTAAACAACTTTGACAGGGATATGAATAAATTGGAAGAAAGATGTGGTTGGCTTTCGGCTCCACAGGTAAGCTCTTTACTCTCAATGTTATGTTATAGTCACCAATGTTGTACATGCTTAGAATGACAATTGACTTAAATCCATATGCAGATCTCTTAAACAGCACTTTATTATTCCACGCATAGTGCCCTGTGACATACTCCAGGTTGTCAAAACATGTCACCAAAATCTCCCCAATAGATCACGAAAATCTTCAGCGTAATTCCCTGCTTACTTTCCTGGTTAGCTTGTCGTTGTTGTTTAAATTTGGTAATTTTTATTTCACTTGGTTAAAACTAATGACAGAAGCTCCACATGGAATCCATTTTGGAAATTGCTGTGGAAACATCTTAATTGTTGTGACTGTTTTTTCTTTATATAAATAATTATGCTGTCATAATGAAACTACTTTGACAACATGGAGATTTCTTTATTCTTATTTTTCCTTTACTGGTCTCTAACTTGTCATTTCAATAGATGCCATTATACCTGCATGCTGTTTTGTATTTTTCATGAGCCTGACTCTCCTCTGGAATTAAAGTCTCAGTTTTTCAATAAGTTTTAGAAAATGTAATTAACAGGTGAAAATTTTATACAGGCTTTTTTTTCCCCTTTGTAAAAATTAGCATATAGTATGTGTTACTTCTAATCCATTTACTTTTTACTGGTGCTGTTTGAAATTACCATTGATGTGTTTTTACTTTGGTGTCTCTGAATTTTTTTAATGGTTGAACAAAGGTACTTATACATTCAGGAAGATTGGCTACATGACATGAATGCCCTAATCGCATTTATTAGTAGTGCTGTTTCCAGAAGAGAGAGCAAAATGATGCTCCTTTTCAATAGGAACAATGTTGAATACCAAAAGGCATGCTGTTTACTCTAGAGCCTTAGCTCACATTTCTAAATTACTAAGAGTGGTGCTGCTGACACGCATGGAAATAAGTCCTCTCAGAGCTGGGGCTGGAAGAGGGTAGGGTTGAAAAAGCAAAAGCTTCTCACTGCTTACTGTAGAATGTGATATAGAAAATAAGAGAGCTTGTAGATGTTGTAATTGCTTTTGAAACTCTCTTTCGTTAGACAAAATCAAGGCCTTTTGATTGCTTTTGAATCTGACAAAACCATGCAATATTATAAAGGTTTTAAGAAAAATACAACTTCAGAAATCTGGATATAATAACAGTGTTACAGTATATTTTGAAAAATAATTTTATGTGCCTTCACTTATTAGTATAGAGACTAAAACAAAAGTCTTAAAGAAAATTCACTTATAAGTAGATCTAATATACTTACTCACACACACACACAGACACACATAAGTGCTTTCTGTATAGCACAGGTACTATGGTTTTACTTAAAACCTAATCCTCTGTCTGTACTTTGTTTGAGGTTGGCAAGTGATTGGTGAGATTTGTATACTCTTTAAGCAATTTTTGAAACTGATGCTGGCCTCAGTGGGGCAAAATTTTGATATGGCAAAATTTCAATATGTTCAAAAAATATAACATGCTAGCACTTTCATTTTTGGCTTAATAACAAGGCTGTTAATAAAGACAAAAGAAACAACTTTTTGTGAATAATTTACTTATAGCAGAATCTGACTATTATTTGTATATATTCTATGTGTTAATTATTGCAGGCCCATGTGAGTGAAAAGCATGAAGACAATAAGGTCATTGCTTTTGAGAGAGCTAGTCTTCTTTTTGTCTTCAACTTTCATCCTAAGAAGAGCTATACTGATTACCGAGTTGGAACAACATTGCCAGGAAAATATCCTTTTTTTTTGCCAGTGAACATGACTGTTGTTCAATTTTTATTATATCATAGGGTATAAGAAAGACTAATGCTGATCTTGGTGACAATAGCTCTCAGTTTCTTCATCTGAAAACTGAGGGACTTGAAATAGTTAATGTATCTTTGCTCAGTTCAGTTACACTAAAGTAATCCTGAACTCCATTCTGCCTCTAAAAAGTATGATTATGAACCTTCTCTTAAGTAATATTTTAATCCAATGTGTAGTATAGGAGGTGATTGTTGTTTCTTTTTGTGAAAATATTTTATAAGTTGCCTCTGAGAGTCATCTCCTTTTCCCTCTCCATGGAGTGCGTGAGTAGATGGTAGTTGTAAAGATAGTCTCCTTTTCTTTTCTTTTTCCTGTCTTCTAAAATACAAGATATAGCTCACTTTTTTGGGGGGTCTGAACTGATAAGGAATTGGGGCATGAGAGGTGTAAGCAAAGGAAGTATCAAGGAGAATGTTTAGATACTGTCTACAGTCATTTACTCATCCATTCATTCATTTCACAGATGTTTTATGAGCACCTATTTATTGAACACCTGCATATCAGCCCTGTGTGAGGTGCTGGAAATACAGGAATTTTCCTGGCAGATAAAGTCACGGCCTTCATCGAGCTTTTAAACTACTGAAAAAGACAAATATTAATCATTTGAAGTGTGATCCTTGTTACAAAATGAAACATGCATGTGTTTGAAAGAGTTTAGGACTTACCCAGTCCATGGAAAAAAGCAAAAGATTCAGGATGTAGTAATAACAAATCAGCACAGATTTTTAAACAGGCAGTAGAAAGAATGTGTTCTTCCCCCGAAGCCCTGATAGTGATTAATGTCTGCCACCTGAGGAGGATGCCTGATGCCAGGATGATCTCTTACAAGCCAGGCTGTCTCTAGCTACAGTAAGAGAAACCCCCCTATTCAACTGGCTCAGGCAATAAGGAAAAGTGCATTTTGCCAAACAATGGAAGTCCTGAGGTCAGGTGACCCCAGCACTGTGACTGTATCACCAGGTTCCCTGGTCCACTGGCCTTCCCACTTCCAACTCTCAGAGTGCTAGCAGCGTCCAAAGGGTGTCACCTGATAGAGCTGCAAGACAACAGCCTTGGTTCCAAATGTCACCTTCAGACACAACAAAAGGCAAATAGATTTGTGTGGTTTTCAGGAACTAAGTCACTTTAGCAAATTTCCTTTGTATTCCATTGACCAGAATTCAGTCACTTATCCCCAGAGAAGTGTCTAGGGAGGAGAATGCTTTCCTCATGAGTAGCTTAATTAGGAATTACCCCCTGAGTCTCCAGGAAGCGACCTCCTTGGGGAAGTAGTCGTCCAGACAGAATGTTTCCTTGGCTTTAAGGAGGAAAAGGCCATGATGTCCGGTGAGTAGCCTGTGGCATATGCCACCACCTTGTGTCGCTCAGGGATGCTGCAAGTGGTGAAAGATGTTCCCTGTCTTCTCTCCGCTCCTCCCGATCACCCCATCCTCTAGGACATCAGAGCATGTAGGAGGGAAGGCTATTGCTGCGACGAAATATGCCCCAGTTAACACAGAGACTGTTCAGATCATGGAAATCAGTGACACGGGGTTGTCTGCCCTGAAGAAGGGCTGTACTGTTCAGGAGGCGACTGTTCTCACTGTCTCCTTGAAGAAATACAAACAGCTGCTAGACATGTGGCAACTCAGACATAAGCCTTCTCAGCGACACACTGCTCAAGTATTAACCCCTAGACTAAATCCTGCTGTATCTAATGATGGCCTATAATCAAACTGTAATTTTGACTATTATTAAACCAAAGTTCATTTACAGAACACTTGGGATCTACTTCAGTGTTTGGTAGTTAAGCACTGCCCTTGACCCTAAGTGGGAGAGAAGAGATGTGTAAACCCAAGCTAAGATGTAAGGCACAATGCAATACAGGGGATGGGGCAGGAGTGTTCCATGGGACACAGAGGGGAAGTAAAAGAAAAATAAATGTGAGAGTGGGGGTGGAAAGAGAAACAGAGATTGAGTAGTTGATTGACTAATGAGATTTTTTAAGCCTATATCACAGAGAGAGAGAGAGACAGAGATGATTTATAGACCAATTGATTGAGAAAAGACCTTAAAGCCTGGATCTTGAGAAATGGATGAAATTATGGTAGAAAAAATTGAGGAAGGCCATTCCTGCTGTTGGAAATCATAGCCTGTTCTTAGATAATAGACAGTATAATAGATTAATTGGGAGAATGTTGACCCAAAAAGTACTTGAAGATTAAACTGAAAGATAGACTGTGATCACATAATAGAAGATTTTAATTCCTTTAACTAGTTTAGGGTTTGGGTTTTTTTTTTTTTTTTTTTTTTTGGAGTTTCTTTAGGATCACTAACAAATGGAAATAAGGGAATTTCATTGATGTTGTTTAGGAGAAAAACTTGGCTTAAGCTACACTGAACTCCTGTTTGAAGTCTGTGTGGTTTAACAAATATTATTAAATGAAATATATATAATAATATAGTATATTTTATTAAACAAAACCCACCCAAAAGTTAATTTCATTTTGTGATACAAAGTTACACTGTACATGAAAGTCTAGTTTGGCTTCAGTACACCTTGCCACAGATTGAATCTTTCAAAACTTAGCAGTTTGTTTAAATGTCTGAAAGCACCTTTTATACAGAAGCTCTCCATTTTAACAAACACTGAATGCTTCATATTAGTGACCACAGAAAATGTACACATTACGTGTTGTAGTGATATACACATCTTGGAAAATTGGGCCATATCTTCATAGAAGTCAGAGTTGCAGCAGCCTTAGTCATCTGTTGCACCTCTAAGAGAACCTTGAAAATGTTGTTGCTTCTTTTATTACAAGGATTTTGTCTCCTACAGATCTGTGTCCACTTGGGCCTGACTTAGTCTTGCAGCCTTTCTCATTCCTCCCTTTCTGTCAACAAGCTGTAACTAATTCCCATATGTTATTGCCTCCTCTGAGGACATTTGCATTTTAATAACCAGTCTCCTTGAATACTCAAAACTATGCTGGACCTAATGAACTAGATATCTAATAGAATATTTTTAAAATAATGAGTATTTTTTTTTTTTTTTGGAGGGAAAGAGAGCAGGAGAGCATTTCCAATATACCTGAAACCATACTTTCTAATTAGCTACATATTAATACTGTCAGCCTTAAATCTTAGCTTGAAATTATAAAATCTTCTGGATTTTGTGATGGTTTGTACTCTGATGACACAGTTCAGTGCAGAAATCCCATCTATATATTCCTCTGCAAATCACAGTTGTCATTAGGACACTTTCCAGTCCTTTGACTCTATTTCACAAGGTGAACAATTCAAGGTTTGGTTTTTTGTTTTTTTTAATGTAGCCTTAAATGTCAATGTATTATATCTGGACTCTGGGTCCAATGACTGTTCTACATGACAGCTATTCAAATCAAAAAGGCATTTAAGTTGCTCCTCACAATACCACCTCTCCTTGGTCTTCCCTCTTCCAGAGCAAAAATACCTCTGGTTTCTTTAATAGATTCTTGTGATGCTTTCCAGACCTGTTAGCATCATGTCTCTCTTATCAAAATGTACCCAGTGTTGTTCACTTTCCTCTTCATTGTGCTTCCAGAACAAACAGCAGAATATTCCAGATAACGGTCTGGCAAGTATGACATGGAGTGCCCCATTACCTCCTCTTGTCTTGGGACTGCTCTGTCTTGTTAATGGAGTTAAAGCCACACCAGCTTTTCTGGCAGCCATCACATTTTTCGCTCGTATTCACATTCATATAAAAAAATTTTAGTTTTCTTTTCTGTGTACTTGTATTGTGACATATCTCCCTTACTTTTTATTTATTCAGCTAATTTAATTAAAATCCCAAATTTAATATTGAGCATGATTTTTGCCTCTCACTTGTTAATAGACAAGATAAAAGACTACTAGAATATTGGTGATATGATTGTACCACCTTCCCTAAGCAGTAGATAGATCTCTTCTTTCAGCTTCTTGTTGTTCCTTGCTTAGCTTACACAGTCCTTTTTATTATACTTAGCATTGTACAAGTCTCATTTCTTTTTGGTTTTTCATCTTTCTGACTTTATTCTTATACCTTTAAACAGCATTGTAGTTCACCATTATAGAATCATTTCTGGAATAGGAAGTACAAAAATATTGGTATTTCTATGCTGTAGTTTCTGACTTTACCAAAGTATTCTATGCCACTGGTATTTCCAACTACCAAACCAGTGAATTGAATACAGATCTCCTCTGTGAAGGATCCGCAGAGGCAAGATTGGATGTATTAATCAAGTCAAGAAATTCATCAAATTTTTAATTCCCAGGAAAGCAGGATTTGGTACCAGAACAAATTTAAAGTTCCTAAAGAAGTCATTGGAACTTCCTCTGCCACTATGAAATATAAACCTGCAGTAGGTAGCATGCCTGAATTCTTGAATAGTTCTGTTTTTTGAACCTGTGTATCCTGTATATCAAATAGCAAGACATCAACTTTCACTCATATCTGAGTAGAATTTGAGCTGACTGTCTTTCCAAGAAACTGTTGTAAGGGGAGCTATTTTGGGGGCAAACACTTTAAGAGTACTTTCAGCTGTCACTTCAAAATAAGATGATAAATTTGGAAGGTTGAAGGGGTGTCTGCTTTGTATTACTAAGGTTTCAAACCCAGTCTTCGTGGTGAATACTAAAGGACAGTGTTGTTTCTGCAAAAGGAATCTGCAGGAATATTCTAGAAAACAAAAAAACAAAAAAATGCAACAGTAAAAACACTTCACGGTGCACTGTCTCCCATTTGTCCTTCTCTCCATTAATCTTCAGTGTAATAATCACCAGTGTTTGTTCATTCAGTGAATAGTAACGTGAGTAAAACAGAACTGAGACCCAATGTACTGACTAAGGAGGTGCATGCAGAGTTACATGCTCAGGAAGACAAAATGCTGTATGATGTAGTATGTTTGTTTATGATTTTACATTGTTT